CTCGGGGGGGGTTAGGCTGCCTGCAGCTGTCCTGACAGACCTCCAGGAATGGGCCTTTCCTGAGGTGACTTCTGTCACTGCTGGGGGAGTTCATGAGGAGATGTGAGACCTTTGGGACTGGTGAGAAACTGCAGGGAAAACTGGAGTTGAAAAAACAAAACAGACAAGAAAAAACAGATCAACATTGAGGGTGCAATGGATGGTAAATGTACAGCTCAGCTGCACCCGGGCTGGTTAGTGCTGTTACCCTCTGTGACCACAGAATCACAGACTGGTTTGGGTTGGAAGGGACCTTAAAGCTCATCCAGTCCCACCCCCTGCATGGGCAGGGACACCTCCCACCAGCCCAGGCTGCTCCAAGCCCCATCCAACCTGCCCTTCAACACCCCCAGGGATGGGGCAGCCACAGCTTCCCTGGGCAACCTGGGCCAGGCTCTCACCACCCTCACAGCAAAGAATTTCCTCCTCATGTCTCACCTCAATCTCCCTCCTCCAGTTTTAATCCATCCCCCCTTGTCCTCTCCCTCCCTGCCCTTGTCCCAAGTCCCTCCCCAGCTTTCCTGGAGCCCCTTCAGGCACTGGAAGCTGCTCTCAGGTCTCCCTGGAGCCTTCTCTTCTCCAGGCTGAACACCCCAACTCTCCCAGCCTGTATCCAGCGCTGCTCCAGCCCTCCCAGCATCTCCATGACTCCTCTGGAGCTGCTCCAGATCAGGACACACCGTGTCAGCACCAGGGGGGGTCGGGCTGGTTCTGCCCGTGGGGAGGCGGGAACACTCGAACGCTTGTCCCGCAGGAACACCCCGGTGTGGGCGCCGGGAGCTCCGCGTGCGGGGCCGGGGCTGCTGCGGGTTCCGAGGGCTGAGGCTGCGGAGCCCTGAACATCCCCGGGGGATGAAACCGCCGCGGCTCCGGGATCCTAGGGAAGGATTCGTGCGAGCGGGGCAGAAACACGTCCCGGGCAGGGCCGGGGGGCCCGTCTGCCCTGTGAGCTCCGGCTGCTCCTGCGGGGCCGGGCTGACCCGCGGGCGGGACAGAGCGCTTCCGGGGTCACCGGCCCCGCCCCGGCAGGGGCAAAGCGCTTCCGGGGGCGCGGGGGGCG